AGCCGGTGAGTGGTCTCCGCCCCATCCCGCACCTGCTCCTGCGGCGCCGCGATCGTCGCCCCCCCGCCCCCGCCTTGGGCCAGGTGTCAGGTTAGCCCTGGAGTCCCTGTCTGTCCCGCTCAGCGCCCCCATGACCCCCGGAGTCCCTGTCCCCTCCCCTCAGTTTCCTTATAGTTCCCGGAGTCCCTGTCCCCTTCCCTCAGGTCCCCTATAGCCCTCGGAGTCTCTGCCTCCCTCCCTCAGTTCCCCTATAGCCCCCAGAGTCCTTGTCCCCTTTCTTCAGCGCTCCCATCACCCAGGAGACCGTGTCTCCTTCCCCCAGTTCCCCTACAGTCCCCCGGAGTCCCTGTCCCCTTCTCTAGGTTCCTCTATAGCCCCCGAGTCTCCGCCTCCTTCCCTAAGTTCTTCTATAGTCCCCAGAGTCCCTGTCCCCTTCCTTCAGCGCCCCATCACCCCTGGCTGTTCCCTGGGTTACCCTACAGCCCCCGGAGTCCCTGTCCGCTCCCTCGGTTCTCCTACAGCTCCCGGAGTCCCTGTCTGCTCCCTCTGTTCCCCTACAGCCCCCGGAGTCCCTGTCTGCTCCTTCTGTTCCCCTACAGCCCCCGGAGTCCCTGTCTGCTCCCTCGGTTTCCCCTACAGCCCCCGGAGTCCCTGTCTGCTCCCTCGGTTTCCCCTATAGCCCCCGGAGTCCCTGTCTGCTCCCTCGGTTTCCCCTACAGCCCCCGGAGTCCCTGTCTGCTCCCTCGGTTTCCCCTACAGCCCCCGGAGTCCCTGTCTGCTCCCTCGGTTCCCCTATAGCCCCCGGAGTCCCTGACTGCTCCCTGTGTTCTCCATCATCCCCGGATTGAGTAGCTGTCCTTTTTCCTAAGTGCACCCTCAGCTCCCATCACCCCTAGGATCCTTTTCCACTGTCCGTAGCTCCACCATCACCCTCAATCCTCAGTTTTGTTATGGTATCAGCAGCCCCATTTCCCTAAATCCCTTCTCCCCTCACCATCACTCCCCAGAGTTCCTGTCTCCTCTCCTCCCCTCAGCACCCATCACCTCCTGAGCCCCTAGCACTGCCATTGTCCCCTTCCCCCTCTCTTCAGCTCACCTGTTCCCACCCTGATCACCCCCTTGCCCCTTCACCCCTAGGAGCCTTCTTCAGCACCCCTACACTCACCATCAGTAGCTCTCCACTGCATCCCCACAGCCCCCACCCTGCTGTGATCCCAGCCTCTGGAGCCTCACCATCTCCATTTCTCATCCCTGTCTGTGTCCCCACTTCTGCCACAGCTACCCGTTGTTTCTGGCTTCATATCTTTGGCCTCATTCACCCAGGATCTGCAGCACTCCCTGGGCTCTCCCTCCCTGAGCCCTGCCCCACTTGAAGAAGCCCCCAGACCTCTCCGGATCGCTGAGAGATCAGTGGTGTAGTGACTTCTCTGAGGACTTGAAACAACCCAGCTGCCAGCGCTTGCTCCACCTCCTTCATCTCACCCCATAATTACCGCTCTCTAATTTTTATCCCGGCAAGGCAACAGCTCATCTTCTCCTGCCCTCCCTGCCTGATTCCCTCAAAACCCCAGACAAAGCATTCCCTTCTCCTGTGTGCACCTCCCTTTCTAGCACTTCTTTTCTCCCATTTTTTTTTACACTCCCAAATTGCTGGCATTCTATTTTAGTATTTTTTAAAATGAAGAAGAAGGAATTTTTCTTCTCAGAAAAATTAAAAACAAACACTAACCATTGAGCCTGCAGTGTGAGAACAGGGTTTGGTAAAATGAGAAGAAAAGACACCACAAGAATATTCCCAGCAGGAAGAAAAGGGACTCTTTTTTCTGATAAGAATAAAAGCTACCTCTCATACAATGCCAAATCTATTCACAGTTTCCAACTATGAATATTTTAAAACTGTGAGGACAGTCTCAAAAATCCTTTTGCTGAGAACTGAGTCACCACCACCCCACCCCCTGTGCCCACATGATATGCATGAGTTATATTGAGAAGTCCCTGAAAGGAAGGGGCTTCCTCTTCACCCAGCCTCAGAAATTATCAAGAGGGGAGAAAGGGAGAACTGTCATCTTCTAGCTGGTCCTGAGGAAACAGCACTAATAGCTCACTTATTTTCAAGCTGTAGGGAGCAGGAACTTGTAGACTGCTGTGTCATACGAATGTCAGGTAGGGTGGTGGGTACTTAGGGTCTCATACAGTCCACATGGGCCTCATACTCAGTGGAGACTGGTTTTGAATTTCTGATCTTCCTGCTCCTACCTCCCTAGTGCTCTTAAAATTCCTCACAAGTCTCCTGCTCCACCTCCCAGGAGCTGAGATGAGTTGATGGGCACACACACACACTGCAGCTAGTTAGTGCTGGTACGTAGTTTGTTTTGTTTTTGAGACAGGGTTTCTCTATGGCTTTGGAGGCTGTCCTGGAACTAGCTCTTGTAGACCAGGCTGGTCTCCAACTCACAGAGATCCACCTGCCTCTGCCTCCCGAGTGCTGGGATTAAAGGCGTGTGCCACCACCACCCGGCTTAGTACGCAGTTTTGAATGACACATATATACTCCTTTTACCCCAAAAATCATTTTATAAGAAAGGAAACGAAACCTAAGTAATGGATTAAGTAACTTGGGCTGAAAGGCAAACCAAACAGTAGTTTGGGAATTAATAACACTCTATCCCCAAGCAGGTACAGGAGGAGTCCAGGAGTGGGAAGTCAGATCTCTTGGAATTGCCTCAATTGTGAACTTAGTTTACATCATTGTTGGGAATTCACAAGGTTGAATGCTTGTGCCCATGATTAAAAACTGCATTTACTATCTTACTCCTCATTAATAAATCATTAACATGTAGAGGCAGAAAGACTGGCTTTATGGTGTGTGGGTATTTGCTGTGTTTGAAGGGCACTGGTAACTCTTAGCCTGTGCAGTTACAGATAACTTAAAGTCAGGTGAATGTGGAAGAAATCCTGGGATTCAGACATGGATGACAGAAGACCACATCTGGAGGCCAGGCCCAGGAATCCCCCTCCCAACCACAGAGGTAAGCAGGGTTTCTACTCAATGAAAAGAAGAAGGCCACCTGGGATGGCCTGTGCTTTTCAATTAAGAAGGATCTCCTTGCCGGGAGTGGTGGCCCACGACTTTAATCCTAGCTCTTGTCCCAGCACTCTGGAGAGACTTTAGAGACAGGCTGATCTCTGAGTTCAAGGCCAGCCTGGCCTACAGAGTGAGTTCCAGGACAGTCAGGGCCACACAGAGAAACCCTATCTCCAAAAACCAAAAAAAAAAAGGGGGGGGGAGGGAGCCTCCTTAGCTACAGCATGAATGACATGAAAAACAGCTTCCCTAGGAGAATGGTGAATGGGTGCTAATAGGAAGCCTGTCATTCCAGCAGATGGAGGCAAGAGGATTGAGAATTTGAGGGCAGCTGAATTGTGAGATAAAGAAAGGCCATCCATCCGGAGTTCCCATGGTGAAACCTTGTCAGGGCTGAGGGCTACCACTCAGTGGCAGAATGCTTGTCTCACTGTCTGCCATGCATAAGGCTCTTGTTTGGTCCTGGCACTGTGAGAGTGAGAAAAACAAGTGGTGGGATGTGAGACACAAAATGACCCCTGGTTTGCCGCAGGGCTGTCCCGTAGAAACTTGGGACAGCTAAAAACTACTTTGTAATCTGTCATAGCACCATTTCGAAATTTAAAAGACCACTGGGAACTTTTATTTTATGACATTTGTGTGTATGCTCCGTGCCTGTGGAAATCAGAGAACATCTCGTAAGAGTTGATTTTTTTCCTGCTACTGTGTGGGTCTTGAGGACTGAACTCAGATCTTCAGGGTTGGTAGCAAGTGCCCTTATCTACTGAGCTGTCTCACTGACCTTGAAAATTTTTAATTTAATGCCAACGTAATAAATGTGATGCTCTAATTTCTTAATCATATTTGAAATACTAACATTTTATGGAATTTAATGTACATGTAGACATATGAGCCAAAACATTCATATACATAAAATAATGATATATTTTTAAAAATTTAGAGGCCAGCTTGGGTTACAGAGTTAAACCCTGTCTCAAAAAAAAAAAAAAAAAAAAAGGACCTAGCCAGGTATGGTGGCATACCTCTTGGATCTCAGTAGTAGGAGGCAGAGGCAACAAATTCTGTGTGTTTTTTGTTTGTTTGTTTGTTTGTTTTTTCCAAGACAGGGTTTCTCTGTGTAGCTTTGGAGCCTATCCTGGCACTCGCTCTGGAGACCAGGCTGGCCTCGAACTCACAGAGATCCGCCTGCCTCTGCTTCCCGAGTGCTGGGATTAAAGGCGTGCACCACCAATGCCCGGCTAAATTCTGTGTGTTTTAAGCCAGTCTAGTCTATCTAGTGAATTCCAGGCCAACCAGGATGACACAGTGAGACCCTGTATCAAAAAAACATAACAACAACAAAAAATAACCTGATGTGGTGAGATGGTCCACCATCTTAAGTGTTACCTGTTTGTAACTTTCCTAACTTCTTGTCAAATTGTGCACAGCCATTTTGTGAAACTCCACACCACTCTGCTCTGGAATCAGTCTTAGAGGCAAGGAGAGTGACTATGAGCATGTCTAGCAAGGGCAGCCTTAGCACAGGTTGCT